ATTGGAGGGAGATTCCCCCAAATTAGCTTGGGTTGCGTGGGGTGGGGTGGGTGGAAGAAGACTTTTTTTTTAATTTTTAATTCTTATTTTTTTAAATTTAATTTTAACTTATTTTAATATAGTAAATGGAAAGTGACCATTTTATTCTTTCAAAAATATTTAAAAAGTGGTCAAAGTCAATTTTCTTAGTCAACTAATAGACTTTTTGATGAAAACCGCCCAAAAGGGTCTCCGCCACAACGTTTCTAAAAGTTTGGAGTGACGACTGCAACAAAACAAAGGTTTGGAGAAAGTCTGCTAATGTTATAAAGGTTTGGGGCCTCTACTGCAATTTTCACTAATTTATATTTGATAGATAATATACAGACATCATATCATTATACAAAAGGTATCGTGGCTAAACGCAGACCTCTATCAACCACGGAAAGAAGAATGTAAAATGAGAATTGGATGCAGAATTACTGAATTTTGATATTATTTTTTAAATAATAACAACTTATTTTATTAAATAAGTGATTTTTCCCTGATTTGATAATGGGTATGTATGCTGTTCATTCCTACCTAGAAAAATTAGCATATATGCTAATATAACGGGTTTGATAGGCCTTGTTTGATATTCTTAACAAGCAAGTTGGAAATGTTAAGACTCTCTCTTTAGATTTTATGTTTTTCAAGAATGATGGTACTTTTAGTTATCATTTTATAACCCAACTTACAGAGAGCTTTGTAATCTCAGCCAATGTACACAGCATAATAAAGCTTAAAACAATACAGATTCATTATTCTAATAATATTTACATAAAAGAGAAAAGTGGAAGGTTAAGCAATTACATTCTGTCTGAAATTTTATCGGTTTCATCTTCACATTCCATGAGAGTTTGGACCACAGCAGCCATAGTGGGTTGCTTTATAACCCAACATACAGAGAGCTTTGTAATCTCAATCAATGTACACAACATAATAAAGCTTAAAACAATACAGATTCATTATTCTAATAATATTTACATTGTTGGAAAAAATGAGTGAGCGACTCACTTTTGGCACAATTTTTGGTGGGACCCATTGGTCCAATTTGAAATATCAAAGTTGATATGTGTTCTCTTCCGCGAGAACATCGAAGTCATGTATTTATTTGCCAAAAATGGAGCTCGGGTGAATGAGAAATTGGAGTTTAAAGTCGACCATTGGAAATGGTCTATGTTGGTGGGAAAATTATAGTTAACTTTGTCCCACATAGGAAAAACATGGAAATCAAACCACTTTATATATGGCTATGCATTGGAATGGTATGATCATGTGTAACATAGAGGCTCTCTCCACGTGCATGCGCAGGGGGTGCAAATCACGGACAGAAATAGCCTTCGGACCTTGAACTTGGATGCGAGGCACACAGAAATGTCGGACTGAACGGAGCAAAAACTGGCCAGTTTGGATTGTCTGCGTTTTGCAATTTTTTTTGTGATTTTTCCAAATGACTTTTGAGTGTCTGAAACTCCTAAAACTCCAACGGTCGAAATCGAAGTGTAACTCCAAAAACTGTAATGGTTAATACAGAAACTAATGGTCAGATTCAGTCTCTATAATTTCACTCAATTTCCAGTAGTTTATATGCTGCAATTTTCGTCTGCCTTCGTACAGTTTTGTTTTCTGTTTTTGTTCTGTCCCCTCCTATGTCATTCCAGTAAGGTGATATTATTCGAACACTCACTCAGTTCGCTGGAGTAGAACCGCGGTGCTGGAATTTTACTGGTTACCGTTATATTCTGGGAAACAGGCGTTCGAACTAAACCTCTAGCACTACGGTGAGGGGGCGAATTTGTCTTAAAGAAATTGTGTTTACACAGACATCGGGGTTAAAAGTTTATTTCCAAATATATATGCTTCCAATTTGAGTATATGTGCTTTAATTATTTGCAGATTTACATGCTTATAGATTTTATTTAGCTTTCTGAAATTTAAACTGCTTTTATGTTTCTGCAAATAATATAATTTGTCATTCTTATTTCAAGTAGTGATTTAGATAATAGTTAGTATCTAATTAATTTGTGAAAAATAAAATTAAGAAAAAATTTATCTGAATTTTTTTTTTTCGAAATTGTGTTTGTGCAAATTATATGAAAACAAACACCAAATTCTATGTTATCTAAAGTCATTGTATGAAAACAAATAGTTGTAGAAATTCTGTGTTTAATTCTCTACCAAATACGATCACTGTCATATACGGTGACTGCCTGCCAAATACGGTAAGTTGCACTGTCAAATACGGTAAGTAATTGTCAAATACGATAAGCAGCTGCCAAATATGGTAAACAATTGCCAAATATGGTAAGTGTGAACCCGGTGTCTAAAACAAAATACGGTACATGAAAACTCAATTCCACTCCATACACTACCGATTAAAAATAACAACATGCATAACAGATAAAAGTGGAAGGTTAAGCAATTACATTCTGTCTGGAATTTTATCGGTTTCATCTTCACATTCCATGAGAGTTTGGACCACAGCAGCCATAGTAGGCCGCTTGCTTTGGTCTTCCTTTACACAAGAAAGGCCTAATTGAATCAGTGTTGCTGCTTGTTTTCTGCTATAATTCCCTTCCAATCTTGAATCCACTATGCTCTCTACCCAAGAGGAGTTTCCACCCTCAGATTTTTCCTTCACTGTCCTGTCAAAACTTTTAAGAGGAATTTTTTGATTGTCAGCATCATCTACCACCCAATTTGAGAGTTTAATTCCCTTTACCATCTCGAGTATTACAACACCATATCCATAAACATCGACTTTTGCAGTGATTGGCTGGTTCAGAGCCCACTCTGGAGCCATATAGCCTTTCGTCCCTCGAATTCTTGTAATTTCAGAACCAGGGCTATCTCTCCGAAACAGCTTTGCAAGCCCAAAATCTGCAATCTTGGGTTGAAATTCACCGTCCAGAAGAATATTTTCTGGCTTCACGTCACAATGGATAACCCATTCTAGACATTCATGGTGGAGGTAGGCTAAACCTTTGGCTGTGCCTAATGCCACAGCAAATCTTTGTTTCCATCCCAGAAAATTTGAGTTGAAAAGATGTTTGTCAAGCGACATGTTGTCGACGTATTCATAAACTAAGAGTCGGTGTCTCCCTTCTGAACAAAATCCCCACATTCTCACAAGATTCATGTGATTGATCTTTCCTATGGTTCTCATCTCCGCCCAGAACTCGTCTTCTCCTTGAACCACATCTCCCAGTCTCTTCACGGCCACCACCCTATCATCTGCCAAAACACCCTTATAAACAGCGCCGGAGCCTCCTCGGCCTAGCTCTTCCCTGAAGTTTTTGGTTGCTTTCTTCAATTCGGCGTAGTTAAACCTCCTGAACTGATTTGATATCATGCGATATCCAGCTTCAACCGAAGCTGGAACCCCATGTTTTGTGAATAGAAACCACCAGCCTAATACAAAAAATAGGAGTTCAATTACTCCAAGGGCCAAGCAAAATGAGTAGATATACCCCCATCTCACTGTTTTCCTGGCGATGTTATACATAGAAGGAGAACCTACAAGAATTTCTGCTTCCCGAGATTCACACATAGTGCTGGAATCATGAAAAATTGATGGTTTTGATACTTGCAGACTCCTGGGAAGTTTAATATACACACTTCCAGGGAAATCTGGAGATGTAAAACCATTAAATAGATCACTTTTTACATAGCAATGACCGTTTCCCCAGGTCCTGTAGGTAAATCCCTTGCAACCGGAATCACTTCTACAAAGGTTCCAGCAAGCTTCCAGCGTAAAATTCGGCTTGTAATACAGATCCGACCCAAAGTAATCAGTCTGAGAAACCTCCAGGAATTTTACTCCTAAATTCAAGAGGGTTTGGTTGAACATAGGCTTACAACCAGCATTCCAGTCACTCGGATCATTTGCTGTATACCCAGGAGTACATATACACTTGGGTTTCGGTGCATAAACACATATCCCATTAGTTCCACATGCCCCATGAACTTGACAAGGTTGTGAAATTGCTTGCCATGTAATCATCCATAGCCCTGTTGAATTAATCAAACTATAGATTCTAAGATTCCCATCAGGATCTATAGTTAACCTTCTTTTTATCCCAGATCCCATATCAGAAGCACTGGCTTGATAATGATCACTTGAAAAAAGCACGCCCATATCATCTAAAACTGCAAATCTGCTTCCATTGTAGTTGGTTCTACCACTTGTATAGATGTCAGAATCAGGATTTGGCCAGTAGAGGCTAGATATTTGGGGGCTATCAGATATCAACGATAAAACATTGTCACTACCAAAATATAAATTGAAATAACCTGATTCCAAGCTTCCTTTTCTTAAGGATGATATCAATCTTTTGTCCTTCGTCAACAATTGAGAAGGTAAAAGAGTATCAGTAGGAACATCAAAACTTTCCCAGAGAATATCGCCTTGTCGATTCTTCAAAACGAGGTTGCCTGTATTTAGAAGCTCAGCCGCAGCAACATCAGTATTGGTTGTATTTGTCTGCCACTTAATCCTGCCATCAACATCTGTCAAGACCATGGTTCCATCTCCCCTTAGAGATACTCTTGAGCCCTGGCCGTTGACTGGCATGTCCCGGTGGGCTGTCCAAACAACAGTTTTGTCTTTGGAATTGGTGAACCAAATTGCAAACCAATAAGCGTTGCTTCCCATTCCAGAAAAGCCACAGGTAAATGTATTATCTGGTGAGGTGATGAAATCATCGCCTTCGACAGATATAGAATCACCCCTTCTCAAATGAAGCAGAGACTTCGAATTTGCAGAACGAGAAAAGGACAAAACGATTAGTAAAAAGAGGAGAATACAGAGACTGTTGTCTTTGGTAGCTATCCTGTTGTTAAAGAAGGAAATCTTACAAAGCAATTTGAGAGTCTGGCTTCTCATTTTGGAACGCATTATGCTTATACCAAGAAAATGGAATGTGTAATCATTGAAGTAAACTTTATAGATAAGAATGAGTGTATTTATTAGAAGAGTTTCAGGATATGGACAGAAGGAGCAAATTTCCAGGTTTATTAATGCAAATATCACAAGCCAGGTCTGTTTACACAACATTGAAAATCCTCCACGTTATTAATCTATTTTAAAATTATAATATGGGTAAAAATCTAAAAATAAAAATTAGCCGTAGTTATCTTGTTAACTTCATTGTCAACGACCGCAGGTGCACGGAGGACATTAAGAGACTAAAATCAATGGATTATGTCTGCGTGACACGAGAGATGACTTCAGCATTCTATCCTCAAAAGAAAAACCAAAAGGATATTTTGTTTAATTCTATTCAAACAAATTTAAAAGAGAAACCAAATACCGTATAAATGTAGAAAGAAAGCATAAAGTAAACGCGATGATGAAAGAATTTGACAAGTAATTCACAGTCTTGATCTATAAATAGTAATTTGTCTGATAAAATTCTATTTTCTATCTAGAAACAAATATCTTATTATTATCTTTAATCTTTCAAGTTCACATCTCAACTAATAAATTCCTTTTAAGTCACTTCAAGTTTCAACAACTTTCTAAATAATATTTGTAGAAAAGAAAACATAAAAAGAGAATCAAAAGAAGAGTTGATAACTAGTTTGATTAGTCTCACTTGTTTGTCACATCCATTTGATCTTATTTGGAATATTCAATAATTCAATGTGATAACTATGCAGTTTTAAGAATATAATGCAATATATTTTAAACGACTGCAGCTTAATGGTGTGTTCTGTCTATAATATTTTTTGTTGTCAATGTCTGGGGGAGGGGTAGGGGTGGACCCAGACGACTTAAGTTAGGGGGTCAAAAATAAAATTTATAGGGTATCTTCTAATAAAAAAGTCTAAAAAAAAATGTCGAACAATTTTTTATTTTTTTTTCCAGAATCTAGAGGGTCAATTGACCCTGTATTTCCCCCGCCCCCCCAAGGTCTGCCCCTGGGGAGGGGCTTGGTGGAAGTTTTTAATAATGCAACTGGACAGATGTGTAATCATTATTTAATTGAAATATATGGTAAGGATGCGTTTGATAAGGTTTTTATCATGGATAGCGCTTGGTGGATGTAATTCATGTATAAAGCGGTGTTCACACCCTTCACTTGGGGTGAGACCCGCGAACCAAGACTTTTCCATTTATTATTGTTTCTATATTTTGTCAAAGAACTTTCCAAAAGAGCTAGATCAACTTTTTTCTAAAATCTCTTTTAACTAGACAAAAAGTGCATCAAAAAATTTATCGAAACATATTCAAAAATAACTTCCGAATCTCATAAATAACTTTTAGAGCCTTGCCAAACCGACCCTAAACGTAAAATTAAATATACATATAGAATTCTTCAATATATATATATACTTTGAGAAAATTGTAGTATTAATCTCCAACAAAGGGCCTCTAACAAGCATATGGCAAACCTTTTACGGGGGAAAGCATTCGTTCTACAATCAATTTATAAATTATTTGAAAGTTAAATGTCTATCATTATTTCAAAGTTAAATATTAATTTTAGCTAAACTTTCAGAATTACTACTCATTTACTATCCAAATATTGAAGCACCCACTACTATTTATAAAAATTTATAAATTTACTAAATGAAGACTTAAGCCTTCCGTAAAGTAATCCTTGATTCTTGGTGAACCACTTTCGATTAATAGTTCGTTAAAATGTTCGTGAAAAACGGGCAACACTAATTAGATTGGGAAGCAAAACAATAAAATGGGTACTATATCATAGATTAAAATATTTATAATGACCGGAAGAACAAAAACATCATTTGATTTAAAAGATATAACAATTGGATTAACTTCCAATACGAGTAGGCCTTACAATCTTGGATATACTATGTAGCATTGACTTTCACATGAACACACTCCTAAAGTTTAAGTATATTAAGCCATTCAGTTATTTAAAATTAATTATGCTAGTATAATGCAAGTGAACAATATA